TCTCCTTCCTAAGTGGTACACAGGCCAAGCTCAACTAGGTTTATACATCTTACTTTGAACAAAAATGAACTCTGATTTCAAAATTATGACAAAATGGAAGTGCTGGTTTTATAATGCTTAGATAAGTTTCTGTCTAAAAAATCTAACACAGAGATCAGCCTCACTCAACTGCTGTTGAAATTGATGGAATTGAATGAGAATTTTAGTTCTTTATTTCTGCTCTTCATGAGCTGAGCTATGTTCTTTTTAATGTCCAGATAGCCAATCTCTTTGCTTTTAAAAAAAAGTTTCTTTGCCTGTCTCTCCATCAAACGATATTCTTTTATTGCCTGTCTCAGTTGTCTGCATAACCTGAATTTTTTTTAGGATTCTAAACCAACAGTCATAAGCCAAAATTTTTAAAACCTGTTATGTAATATGAGGCCAATAAGTCCCTGTTGAAGACCAAGATACTCAGTGCAATTTTCAAAATTGCTGAGCAGCAAACAACTTTTTATTAAAGTCTGTGGTAACTCTAGGGTGGCCAGTGTCATTTAAATGCCAGTTGTATACTCAAGTGGTTAAATTTAAGTACAACATTTTGAAAATCTTGATTATCATCCTCTAGAGCTCTGAAAGGAAAAAACAGCATTGCCAGTGTTTCAATTTTCACTTCATTTTATCTGCACTGATCACTTCTCGCCATGGTTTTGCAGTGGTGAAAGGTTCTCAGCTAAGTGATGTTAATTGCACCAGTAAATGCAGAGCAAATTTTCCAGTAGACTAAAAAGGGGTATTCGTTAAACGTATTTGGAAAAGCAACCATAGACTAGGAGCAGAACTGTTGAGGGATTCAGGGGGAGGTTTGGTGTTTGAGGGATTATTTTAATTTTCAGTGCTTTAGAATTTGATAGAGGGGAGGTATTAAACAACAAATTGGGTATTTTAATTTTAATCAGGTTGCTGAAAAGAGACAAAAATCAATTATTTTCAACTCCCTCTTTCACTTGTTATTCCTGACGCGGCCAGGAACGTCTCTGGCTTGAAGAACAAGTTAGGGTAGCTCTTCACCTTTTCTTGTATCGGAACCCAATGGTTCATCCAACAGGCATGAAGGAGAGCCACAGAGTAACACATTTCATCTGTTCCCCTCTTCTCTCTTCCCTGGCACACTCCCTGAACTGAAGCATAGAAAAGAGGTAGCACAGAGCCATTTTGCGAACTGTTCATCTGGGCTATTCTCCAGACATCTTTTACAGACTTTTTATGTCACCAGGACAGTCTAAAAGTGGCCACCTACATTTCTACCTTTACAGTTTAAAGCCTGTTGCTGCACACTCCTGTTTTACATATGTAGTTATATAGGTCTTATTGATTTATTGATTTCAATACTTTGTGTATACTTTTCTCAGTGCCACAGTAGCTAATCTCATAGGATTGATTTCTTTTACTCCGTGAGGACTACAGCCTAAAGACCCAACTCAGGAAGAAAAGGGGCAGTAAGGCCAGGGGATGTGGAGAAAGTAGACCTGCCCAACCAGGGGTTGTGGAGGAAGCTGATAGACTGAAGGAATCCTACTGGAGAGCTTACTCTCTGCTTTCTTTTATCCACAATGTAAAACAGTGCTTAAGACTGGTTAGGTTTTTACACACATTTGGATTTCACAAGATGCAGTCTGGTTGTGAATCTGCATCCTGATTCATTGTGTACTGTCTAGTAATATGTCCCCCAGGTTTCTAGAGTGGTGGTTGCGCCATGATGGAAGCTGTCCAGTAACACTTCTGTTCAGAAATATTTGAAAGTGCCTGCCATATATTAGTGGTGAATAAAGTCAGCTGTTTGGGCATGCTGGGGTTAGTCTCTGCACTGAAAAGAACATGAAGTAAATAAAAGGTGCTTAAACATAATTTATGGTGCCTCTCTGGTTTATCACCGTAGCCTGCAGTTTATGACACTGATATCACCATCTTGCCTGTTTCTTGTTTTTGTTGTAAGCATGTGTTTAGCTATTGAAAGGTATTATAATTAAGAGCTGCAGTTTTCTTGTAATCAAATTGAGAACAAAGAGCAAACATGTCATCATATCCCTGCATTGGCAAGGTAGTGCCACATCTGTTACCCATAAAGAAATGTAGGGTCCAGTTCATAAAAGTAGTGCATGTGATTTCTGCATTTAATTCTGTACAGTTTATGGAGGTGGACATGTGCTTGCTGTGAAACACTGTGATATACCCTTTCTCCTATACATACAATATGGGACCTCTGTTACATACTAAATACAAGCAGCGTAAAGGATTATTCTAGCCAACCTGTATGATGGAATCAGCCAAAAATGGGGAAAGAAAGATTTTGGCTGAAATGTGCACAGTTTGTTTATTCATTATAAAAATGTGTGTGTGTGTATATGTACTCAGTTATTGAAATACTTTCATTGTGCAAATTAAACCTGCCTTGAGGCAGACTTCATTTATTTGCTGGCAAGTCACATGAATTTTTCCCCTCTTTATTTACTGAACCATTCTTAAAAGGCAACTAATCTCCTTAAAGACCCTGCATTGTTCCCCTCACTGCCCTTTTGCATTAGGTATACATTCAAAGCACCAGTCCTTCCTGCCGTAATGTTAGTACAAGTCCTTCCATGTGTGTAAAGTCCAGATACAATACATTGTGCCTGAGGAACATCTTTACCTGTGGTTATTTTTAGTGGGTCCTTGCAAATACTTTTTCTAGTATTCAGTATTTTTACCCGTGTTCTGGAAGAATTCTAAAATCAACCCTTGGCAAGTTTAGTGATCTTTGGAGCATAATAATGACAAGGATGAAAAGATCTGAATAACTTAGCAAAACACACATTTTTTGATTGCATCCAATATATTATGCTCCATATGCTGTAGAAGTGGGTTAAAACACAAAAAAGACAGAGACTGTACATGGAGAAGCTGTCCCTTTGAACAAGCTGTAGAGATGACTGCGTACCTGATTAAAAATGAGCTCCCTGTATGACTCCTTTCCTAAAAATAAAAGTGCCTTTAAAGACCCAGCTGAATCACTCTAAAGAACATTGAGAGGTAACTTAATCCCCACGTGTCTATTCAGGAAGAAAATACATCATTTGGGTCTTTTTAATCTAGTGAGGACTAAAGAGCTACATGGCTGTGCAGTAGACATAGGAAAAGACAAACTGAAAATAAGGTGCATGCAGTTTTACAGGCAAGGTAATTAGCCAGTAGTTTGGCAGCAGGTGTGGTAGACAATTCATCAGCCAATTTTTTTAATCAGGATTGAATGCCTCTTTAAAAGAAGTAATGATTTGCTTTAGCTGTGAAAAGTTAGAAGCTACTGTGTGAAAAAACTGTTGTGTGATGTAGTCTCTTGTCTGTAGTTTCTTCTCAAAACCTGAGTATAGAGCAGAGAAGCTTTCATATGAAGTGTAGAAATTTCTGTCCCAGAAAGATTAAATTCGGTTTAATTGGATTAAACAGAGCTTCCCATCTTTAACCATGGTATAAACCATTTAGAAGAACTGGGCTATCATCTATCAGGTAGTAGTTTGCATATTGTTGCTTACTGCTTGAATGTAAAAGCAGGGACATAATGTATTGCCTTGGTCATGTCAATGGAGGATACCAGATGACACTGGGAAAAATACAGAAAATCACTTGTAAAGGTCAAAGTAATTTGCTTGCACAGTTTGAAAAAGTCCAAGTGAACAATATGAAAGCTCAAATTATTGAGTATCATTAAAATGAAAGAAGAGGAAGATTGCTTGAATTTAATTTTGCATAAAGTATACTAAGTGATTTTCTTGAGACATACCTGGATTACATTTCTCTTTAAATATTAGTTCTAGGGGAAAAGTATTTTAACCACAGAACAGCCTCCAAAACAGAATCTTTCAAATTCAGAAAATAAATACTCATTGCTCCTCTGTTTCCTTTCTCTTCTGATGAGAATTTGACATTTACAACTAGCTATTTCAACATAGACAAATATAATCAAGATAATAGGATAAGATCAAACTTATATTCCGTCTTTTCAAGCAGGGATGTGGGTTTTATGGATCATTACTTTAGGCATTATTTCAGGCCTGAGTCCTTTTGCTCTTTAACAGGATTAATTCACTGGGCAGTATAGACAGAAAGGTAGGGACTGGAAGTTCACACTTTGTGTCCTGACAGCCTGAACTGATTACTTGATATACATTTATCTTTTTATTCTTCCACAAGAAAATTTGCCAAAAAGTCAGAAAATTCTTCAGGCAGGCAAATAATCTTTTCTTTCTTCACTCGGGTACTGAGAGGATAAAATATTAGTGATGAATGCAGACAATGTAGTGATATATCTGCCAAATAACTAGGGCAAATAAATAAGAAATTATGATTGTCTGGGAGGGGACACTGATATTCTACCATGGAGATTTTAAAAGAAGTTGTTCCCTTTTCATCAAGATGTGTCCTGTAAGCCAATGAAAATTACTCATGAGTAATGAACAAAATGTAACCCCTTTCTTAAGTCAGAATTCTGAATACAGCCAGTTAGCTAAAAGATCTCAAATAATAATTACTGTATAATTAATGTTCTAAGCAAAAGTGAAATCCAGAGCAAAAAATCCCCGTGGAGTGCCATATAAATTTTCCAAATAACGGTATACCCAAAGGTTTTGTTGTTTATATTGAGTTCAACCTGTGGTGCAGACTTTTACTAGACCTACAAGAGGCTGGAGTGCAATGAAAATACCATGTAAAAATCTGATTGGAGAAAGTATGCTTTCTCAGTTTATAGTGAAGCAGTGATTGAACTATCTATATTAAACTGAAGACACTTACTTGAAAAGCAACGTCTTTGATACCTACTCACAAAGTCATGTTTGCAAGTGATATGTTTTTGTAAAACACAGAAAATAGAAATGGTTTCTAAAACTAGATTTTAAATACTTACTTCTAGGCAAATTGAAGGAGTGGTCTTTAGTACTGTATGGAACATCCATCCAACCTTACTCACCAAGAAATGATTTTCCAAAATGCGCTCTAGTCCGGTTGAAGACCCTACAGAAGATTATGGAACAGACGACTATTCAGGTGTGTACATTCATTTACTCTGATTTTGCATTTACTGAACACATAATAGGTTGAAGGAGTGACCTGAGACTCTGCATATGTAAAATGTTCAGTGAAAGGGATCCTTCATTTAAGAGCAGAACTATTTGTTTCATAATTTAAAGTTAGGTATTTTCATTTCATCCTTATGAGTTTGTAAGCATAGTTATGTATTTTTGAGCTACACTTAACATACTATGAAGAATGCACTGCTTTTCATACAAGTATATAAAAATACATATAAATGCATATGCACTTGCATATATATACACATGCACATATGCACACATATACATATATGAAGAACATTATCTTCTACATCTGTGTTGTTTCTCACTGATTCCTATAGATGTTTTTCAACCTTATCGTTAGACTTTAATAGTTAGATTTTTGGCACTGCAAAATAAGCCAAATTGGACGTTTCCTGCGTATAATCCAACATTAGGAGCATTGTGTAGACAGTTAGGGCTGATGAATCTTAAGTATAGCTTCTTCAAGCAAACAGCAGGACAAAGTTCAATTTAGAAGTTTCTGTTATTACAGTCTTCTGCCACAGCATGTCAGACCCACAGTCCCTATTTTAGATTGAGAGCTGCTGAACTGCTTGTTTTGGTAGCTGATGAAACACTACTACCTCTGCCATAAAGGTTCTTAATTTTTCATATGAAGCAGACTCACTTTACTTCACATTTACCTGATGTCAGGAGAAATTTCAAGGTGTCCATCAAATTTGACACATTTCATTCACAAGAGAGCAGTAATCCTGAAAGTTACAATTTTACCCATGGACTTTGTTCACATGCATTGATGCTTCTCCCATTTGAAAACTGTAAACATAGAATCATAGAATGTCTTGGGTTGGAAGAGACCCATAAAGATCATCGAGTGCAGCATGAGTGCGGGTGAGATGGTAGACTTGCTAATCAAGTGTTAGCCAAGGCTTTTGCAGCAGGTAGCAGCACAGTGGGAGCACATCTTGGCCCTGCTGGCTGGTTCAGCTTTGGTTTGTGTTAGCCACTTGGACCAGTTGTTACCCAGTTGGTAGCCAGAGTAGCTGCTGATAGTGTTGTTCATCATTTATGTTGACCTGCTTGTTATCAGTGATTGTGCTAATAATTCCTTATTATGAATTATAATTTATATAAACAGAAGCTTTTACACATTTCTGAATAGCATTCAGAATGATTTGTTACTCATTAGGAAAGCATCTGTTTGGATCAAGAAACAGTTTCTCTCTGATAGATTCTATAGAGGATGCCACACTTAGTACAAATTATAAATCACTGTGAATAAATACTGAGGCCAGGATTTGCAAGGTCTTCAGGTACTAAAAAACCTTTCTTTTTGTGGAATCAAATTACTATTTGGAATTCAAATCAAACAGGGAAACAGGGTAATTGCATTCTGCATTAAAATACTGTGTTTTAAGGGATGCTAAGTACTAAATGAGAAGTTTTAATCCCTTCCCCTCTGTATTCTGGTTTTATTACAGGTCCCTGCAATGCAGAATGCAGTAAAGTAGGGTGTGATGGGCCAGGGCCAGATCATTGTACTGACTGTCTGCACTACTACTACAAATCTAAGAACAACACACGGTAAGACCAAGAGAAAAAAATCTTTACTTCATAGATTTCTTAGTGTATATCTTAACTTCCTCTCCTCTTTTTGCTGCAGTCATGGATCATTCATTTTCCATGGAATTTGACAAATTTTCTTAGGATTTGCGAAAAAAAAAAAAGCCCTAGGTAATCAGAATTTAAAGTACAGCCTTCAAACACACATCTTTGGTTATTTCTCCATCTCTTGATTATTTTTTCATAAGAAGCTATATACATAGCTGTGATAGCTACTACGGCTTCTGTGATATAGTTTGAACAAGATAGGAAGAAATGTAGATGGTCAAAAATGATACTGTATGACTGTCTGATGAAGCGTTTGCCAATGAGATAGCATGTGCCGTAGGGAAATAAATGGAAGAGGCAGCTTGATGCAATGCTTTGGAGGGTTACATCTTAGTAAATACTTGATCATTAGAAAAGCAGCAATGCTGATAAATACTTCTGCTTTGCAGTCATGATCCAGGAATGTGGTGGCAGGTTATTTCATTAACGACTCTGCCTTCTCTTCCCTGCTGTCTGCAGGATCTGTGTTTCGACCTGCCCACCTGGTCACTACAATGCAGACAAGAAACGCTGTAAAAAATGCTCACCCAATTGTGAAACCTGTGTTGGAGGCCATAGTGACCAGTGCATGACCTGTAAATCTGGCTACTACCTGAATGAAGTAACCAATAGCTGTATTACCAACTGCCCTGATGGGTTTTACCTGGATAAGAGTTAGTATTTCTCGTTGTTTCTTTATTGTGGGTTACAGGATTTGATCTGGGGAGGTTGCTGGAATACTTATGAGCAGGAAAAGTGTATGTTGATGCATCTATCTCTTATCCTATTTCTCTATTAAATTGTTGCCAAGTGTGATCAAGAATCTCCTCAAAAATCTCCCTTTATTTTAAAAACTATGTTTAGTGGCAGGATGTCTTTTCTGCTTGTGTCTGGGAGTAACAATAGCAGAACAAGGGCAGTTCAAGAGCCAGTCAGCTGCAGGACAGAGCAGATTATCACTACTCCAGAAAGGGATGCGTAGCACCCACATTCTGAACATGAGGCCTTCCCCATTCCCCCAAATTAACATGATGTGGCACCAGATAGAAGAGAGAGCTGAGGAATTGACCATGGCCACCAAACTGGAGCTCTAAGAAAAACAGACTCATCAAGTGTAAAATGTGGTTGCAATTAATGTTTGTGACAGACCTAAGTACCTGCAGTGATGTGATGACCCAAGATCAGTAATTCTCTACCATGTGAGACACCTGCCTTCAGTTTCCTCCTGTCATTGCCAAGTAGACTGCCCATGTTTCTTTTCCAACTTTGGCTAGCAAGAGTATTTAAATGTATATTGAGACACGTGCTTAAAACTGCAGTGACATCAGTTATCTTTAGACACATCCTTAGAAGATAAGTATGTGCTCAGGAGCTTTGTTTGTCTAGGTACCTAACCTTTTGCTTTCTGCATCGTGAAGCTGTGTGTTCATTTTTCAGAATTAGTAAAAACAGATGGTACTTTAATTCTTCCATTTCTCACTGTGTGAGAACTACAGTAGAAGGAATTCCTTTCTGCCCAATTAAGGTGGATAGATGAAAATTTAGGATTAAATGGAAACATCAGGTTTTTCTTCTCAGAAAGGTATATGACACTGCATCTGAAAAAACAGCAGTTCTGAGGAGAGAGAGACATCTCTTAAAGTAGGGAGCTCTTGAAATCAAAAAGCACGTCTTAAATAATTTATGTATTTACTTTGTTAAGATCAGACCTGTTCATGCAGGTGTGTCTTTAAGAACCAAATCAGGAAGACAGGACAGGCTGCTTGCATGCAAAGTGTAAGAGGTAAATTGCAGGACAGTCTCTGAACACACGGCAATCATCACTGCATATCACTGCTATATGAAAAGACTGTTAGTCCATATTATAAATAGTTAATGTAAATTTAAAATGTTTATGAAGATTTTTTAATGACCTCAAAGGATATTCTTCTCAGGGTACAACTATAACTTCAAATGTTTAGAAATACATTAAACCATTTGATGTTTGATGGTAAAAGCTAATGATAGGCAGAATTTAGCTATTTCATTCTAGCTTGCTGCTTCCCTTCCAGATGTCAAGCCAGAAAACAATAAGTCATGTAATAATATATCCATATAGTTTTATTAAACATAACTGACCAAGGTTTCCTGGGCTGTTTTCTTTTTTTACTTTGTAGATAAGATTGTTTGCCGAAAATGTAGTGAAAACTGTAAGACGTGTGTTGAATTCCAAATCTGCACAGAATGCAAACACGGCCTAAGGTAAGGAAATTATGGATATTGCTAAACACAATACCTGAAGAGGCTTCAAGGCTGTGGATTCACAATGAAGAACATCAGATAGCTATTTAACCTTGAGTGGCCTTTATTTCATGTGTTCCATTGCTATTTAGTTTGTAATATAGTGTTTTCTTGTGTTACTGTGTGCCAGCTTGGCTAACAATGGATTTTTAGAAGACCTTTCATTTCAGGTAAAATAAAAACCACAGCCATGTGGAAAGCTGGCTTCTTCACTTTTTTGACCTACAGTGTGGCAGTCAAGGATTATTTTAGAGGTAGAGCTGATGATTCATATTAATCTTTCCGATTCATTCCTGTGATAGTTAGAAACTGTTTTCTTATCTTTATTGTATTTTGTCATACATCCAGTCATTCACTTATCTCAAGTATCTCAGGCTCAATTCTATTACAATATTGTGTGCACATATTTTAAACAGCAGTGGATATTTTTTCTTCATAGGGGGACTTAATCATTCTTGAAGCTGATAGGTAAAACCTACAAAGCAGCAATACACATTTCAAACTCCTTTATGAATGAATGACCTTTTGATCCAAGCAGCAGCGGTCAAAAATCTTATAAAATTCATGACGGAATGTATGCTGGCTTTATGCCACAAAAAATATGAAGTCAGTATTCAGTATCTGTAGGGGTTCTTCTTGCAGAATGCAAGTGTTCTGTGAATGTTTCAACACAGAGCTTTTACTTTCTGTCAAAGTGGGTTTTCATCTTAGTTAGTAAAAGTTGAGTGTTGTTTGCTTCTAGGACATCAATAGCTGGATTCCTTTACATTTTGAAAAGGAATTCTCATTTTTGTGTATTTATGTTGCATCTAGATTTTCCAAGTGCCTGCACAATTTTTATTATGAATATCTCTATTTTTTTTTAAGTGACCTTTTGAAAAGGAAGTGTAATCTAATAGGAAGGAAAGCATGGGATTGGGTCAGAACATTGGTCTATTTATACTCTCTGTGAAATATGAGTATCTGCTTCCTTTTTAAAATTTTATTAAATTTATAGTCTGTATTAAGATTTTGGAGAATTTTAACAGACTCAGCATGATTTTCTGTGTATCTGCAAAATCAAATTAGTAAATTAGCAGTTTAGAATTTCCTACAATGGGCAAATATGTCAGGAGACCAAAGATTACATAGATTTGGGACCTTACAGCATACAGTTGCTATAGAAAAGTTATGCCCACATTTTCTTTATTTCTCAGGAACTGAGTTCACTGTCCATTAACACTAACAGCAGCTTGTAGCACCACTGAATAAAGCAGACAAATCTATTCACTGTGAAAAGAGAAGGAGAAAATGAAATATGAAAAAATGAAAATAATGCAAACGTCATGTTTTCTTGGGCAATATTAACAAACTGAGATTGATGTTTGGTAATGTTTTGAAAAAACACCATCTGGGTGGGTGTACCAGATAAATGGAGCCTTGCAGGACATGCGTTTTATATTCCTCAGTTGTTTGAAACTTGCTGCATTTTCTTGCAGAGTTATCGATGGGCAGGGCCCTTGGTGGGACTTGGGAGACCTAAATTCCAATTCTGATCCTGTTACTGGTCCATTAAATAAACTTGTGGAAATTATTAGTTTTCACACCCGTAAAACCCTGAGAATGCTACCTCCTTGTAAAGCACTTTGAGGTGTATGACAGAGGAAAAGTAATAAGATAGCAGGTCTTGTTAGGTTTGTCGAATTGCTAATTTAATTTTTTTCTAAACTGGGACTGTATACTTTCTTGAAAATCTCCAGTGGTGCTGAGCACATACAACTTTTGCTGGATCCAATCTGTAAAGCAGGGTTAGCACTCACTCAGGGTGGTAATTACTAGAGCTGAAGAACATTTTTAGAGAGAGTTAAATTGGGTGAAAGCTGAGGTTCCACAGAAGATGGCAAACATGGCATAGAAGTTCTAGCTTAAAAAAAAAAAAAAAAAAAAATCTGCTGTAGGCACCTTATAACATGAAAGCATAAACAGCTGCTTAGAGGAAAGCATGGAAATGTGACTCTTTATGCTATTTCTTTTTCCTCTGTTACTCACTCTTTTGTACTCTCTCTCAAAAGTGCCTGCAGGCAGAATACCCACCCTGACTGTAATGTTGACAAATCTCCCAAGCCACTCAGAACTGGCATAGTTAGGAGATTTCAAAGGAAACTGCTACTGCAGAAAGACGTGGTGATTTTCTGTACTGTGAATCTATTCTTAACCTGTGCTGTGGCATAGTATCAGGAGATGCTGCTGGTCTTTCAAGAGAAGCATGAGATGTTGTTAACAAGTCCCTTAGCACGTTTTTTTGTACAGTGGTGCTGACTCTCTGCTAAACTCCTCGTGGGTAATTGCATTTTACATGCCTGAATTTTTAGTTCTCTTGGCCATCGTTCTCTTTTTTTTTTTTGTCTCCTACTACTTGGTAGTATTTACAATGAGTTTGTAAACAGCTTCTGCATTTCATCATGGGCAAAACTGCTTTTCATTCTCACTTGAATTAATTGCTGTCTCTAAATTTATAAAATATGACCAATGAAGGAAGCTGGTGAATCCTAATATATGGGTTGTTCTTTTATTAAAAGAGAACTACTGGTTTGTGCATGACCTTGTTGTGCTCTGATGCTGTTATTCGCCCAAACACTGTGCTTTTTTCCTTTTTACAATAGTTTGCATGGCACTAAATGTGCTATCCGCTGTGAAGAAGGAAAATACCATAATGGTAGAGAATGTGAACCATGTCACCGTTCCTGTGCGACATGTGCAGGTACCCCATTGGCATTATCTGTATCATTTCTTTTCATCTATGTTTTTAGCTCTGATTTTATTCTGCTATATCACAGTTACAGTATAACGTGATTGTTTACATGTAAAAATCTTCAATCTCTTGATAGTTCTTTAATATATTTTAAATACAGCAGACCCCTTTCAGCTACCGTGAAAATCCAAGATTTCTAAGAAAGTGTGCATACAGTCTTTTATTTTCTTTTTTGTTTTTCTTTTTTTTCCCCCCCCCTCTCTTAATAGAGCTCCTTCTGATTTCCAGTAGTGCCCTCCATTTTCTTTCTGGGATGGAATAATAACTGATAGATTTTGTGCAAGCTTTAGAACTACCAACAGTCATTTCTTTCCAAAAAAGATATTCTGAAATTATGTGATCTTGTTTATTCTAACCATGTTCCTTTTTTGCATATTACTGTTTGAAAGAAAGTAAGGCAGGTAAACATAGTCTCTAAAATTGTAAGATTTTGCTACAGCTAGAGGTCATGTCTGTTAGGCAATAAGAGGCACTAGCCAGTAATACAGTACATTTTCTCTCTGGTTTAAGGTGCTGGAGTAGATGCCTGTATAAACTGCACACAGGGTTATTTTATGGAAGATGGAAGATGTGTGCAGTCCTGTAGTAGTGGTTATTACCTTGATCACTCTACTGAAAGTGGATACAAAAGCTGCAAAAGGTATGATCAGTGGTTAATACATGTGTCTGATGTTTGGTAGTATATTAGGTATTACTATGGTGAAAAAGATAACACTTATGAGAACATAAAACACTGCTGACTTCGAGTAATAGAAAAAATATTTTGCATGCTAAGCAAATGATGGAAAAGTGGATTTTTTTTTATTTTAATCTGAGGTATATTCATGCAGGTCTTCTAAAAGTGTTTTTTTCTTGTACGTATATGTGTGTCCTTGACTTTAAAAAAGCTATAGTGAGAATCTAAGTAGATATGCATAGAAATGTAAAATTTACAAATCTGGCAGAGGATCTGCATTTCTCAGTAGCAAGTGAAAATAGTCAAAGTAGTATATTTTAATTGCAAGCTAATTACTATTTGTAAGGACCATTTCAGTTCTTCAGCTGCATATTCATAAACATGGCACAAGTATGTTACTAGCTTGCTGTCCACAATAGCTCACCTGAATCAGTGTACAAATGGGTGGCTAAATCTTGGACAAGCCTGTGCTCTGCTGTGCAAGGAAGGGACATTTTTTTCTGTTCCATTCTGTGTTAAACAAATACCATTTGTTACCCTTTTGAATCATTTATTACTAACTGAGTTTGAGTTCAGGGCAGGAAAGGAATCACCATGTGTTACAGCTTTCCACACAAAAAAATAAGCAGTACACAATGAAAATATGATGGAGCAAGAAGGGTGATGAAAGGACTGAGCAGCAGGTCAGTCTTTTCCATCCTGTGGCTTTAGCTCAATGGCTTACTGGTGCATATATGCACGATCAGCTTAATACTTTGATTGATTACTTCTGGATAGTTCCAAAATACTAGAATAATGCAGCTATTTAGTAAAAAAGTGTGAATAGAAAGTGGTTGGAGGAAAGAAGCGGGAGTGCATTGCAGAGGGAGTTAAGTTTTTTTATTATTATTATTA